ATTTTACAGTCGCGACTGTAAATCTGGCCGATTTGCCGTCTCGCGGTAAAATTTTACAGTTTCCTGTATTTTACAGTCGCCCGGTGGGGTTGTCAAAACTGTAAATAATCCGGATAGAACTGTATAATAGCGTTTACACCCGCACCGGTGGGGATGCTCTAACGACCTTAAAAGTTGTTCGTGCCTCTGGTGGCGGTGAATGTGACGGTGGAGTATTGTAGCAGCGATGGTGGGGATCAGGCCTTATCAATATTGTATTATGTACTGTATTGTTCTGGGCAAGTCGAACAATAAATAATTGCAATATATTGTATTGTATTGACAATAATGCTCAATATATTGAGGTTCGATTTACTCGAAGTCAGATCCGATGTCTTCATCATCTTCGTCAATGTCTTTATCGTTTTCATCTTCATTACCATGTACAACTGATGCCACAAGAGCTTGATCCCAAAGATGTCGATTGGTTCTCAAATACACCAGAATTTCGAGAGTTATAGGACTCAAAGCTCGACGATGCGGAGAGTACAGACGTTTGCACAAGCTGAAAAGGCGTTCAACGTCGTTCGATGTTGGCACAATAAAGGAAGTGCACACATAGCTCGAGGACGACTTAGATTCCACGCACTGCCGTTTCAAGGTCTCCGAAGCAAAATCATCTTCTCTCTGCCGAGTATGACCATCAACTGCGAATGCATGATCCTCCCGCTTGACCAAACGCAGAACTTGATTGCGCTCCTCGGGGGTAAGTTGATTCTCACAAGAGCCTTGAATCTTAACAATTGTACTCTCAAACATAGGCGAGGACACATTCTTGCAAGTTGGTCCAACAAAATTGTCGAGGAACGGATGGCGTAGGATGGCCGCATCGAACAGGTAGCGAACATTGATCATTGTGATATTTCGAGTTTGTAGTTTCTTCGTCATCGACATGAACAGCTTGAGCTCCGCCACTGCCGAGTCGATTCGCAGCAATTCGAGGTGAGTAGGCATAAGAGCTGCATACATGGTATCGGTGTGGTCAATGGCTTTGAGACTCATAAACTTGACAAATCGATTGAGCATCGTTGACGCACCAGTCCAACGCGTTTCGTTTCGTAGAACTGGCCGTAGCATTGTTGTCAAACGGAGTTGTCCCGATGCCTTCACGTTGCGCAGCTTAACCATGATTGCTTGGACTTTGTTAAGCTCGTTTTTCAAGTACTTCTCAACCCCGAGGTTGAGACGGTGACTACTGCATCCGACAAGCGGGCGAAATATGAGACGTGCCAAGGCCACATTGGTGGCGCAGTTGTCTCCAATTAGCGCAACCAGGCCACTCTCCACCTTAGTATGGTCAAGCATGTACTGTTGTAGAGTGAACGTTTTGTGTTTTTCCGCAGTCATAGATGTTTCATCCAGCAATGGCTCAAACGAGAGGAGCATCTTGTCGTACGACATGGCCGTGGGAACCGTCGCAAAGAGGCCAACGAAATGGTGGGAATTCTCCGTCCATCCGTCAAAGACGACGGCGAATGGAGTGTTATCGAGATTGGCGGCCACACGTGTCTCAACGGCTCGGGGAGTGCACCGGCGTATTTCTTGAAGGTGTTGACTGAAATGGGCTCGAGGTTGGAGTTCTGTCTGGTGAGAGTCTTGCCAACGAATGCCAGTTCAATCTCGTCCATGCAGATCCACTCAATCCAACGAAAGACGTTGTACGACTTCTTGTCGATCATGAAATTAAGGGTGGTGGTGGTAGATGGAAGGAGTGCAGCGTCGTAGATAGCCTCGCACTCCGGATGAGCGTCTCTGAGGTGAGACATTAAGTTGTTGTAGCCACTACGGACTTTGCATTTGCGCTCCTTGGTGCATCGACATACCCAAACGTTTGGCTCGGTAGCGTGAGGCGTAAAGTAGAACATGGCGTAGTCTTTGTTCGAAGGCATCGTAAATCGAATTTTGTGTATGTCAAATCTGAAGTGTTGTGTATAAGCGAAGCGCAGTGGCGAACTCAGTGAGCCACGAGCGCAGCGAGTAGGAGCGTAGCGACTGGCCGAATTTTACTCAGGATCTTAAAAGCTCTCTATCTTGCGTTATAGAGGGATTTTAGGCAATATGGCTGCTGCATGTTGTGCGTCATGCCTTTAACCACGTTTTGGTCGATTTTGTAAGGGTGTGGGGTGCCTGGTTTATATTGAACAATATATTGAACAATATATTGAACAATACAATATTTTATATTGTTCAATATTATTGATATTTGTAGGCTCGGACAATACATTATTGCCCGCAATAGTATTGTCAATTATTGATACGTCAATATATTGTTGACGATCCCTGGTGGGGATGCTCTAATTGCATTCAAACTTGAGCGCCATAACGTAAAGGACCAATCTAAGGTGCACGGACCAGTTGAAGGTGCATTTCAAACAGCCAATCGCTGGCCTGAAAAATTTCGTCGAAAGATCGGTGATTTGCCGAGCTGCACTACCCAATAGAATTCAAGAATTGATATGATTGCATGCCTCCAAATACTGACAACTTCTAAGAGCATCTCCACCGCATTCCAGTAAATCGACTCACCAATATCCGCATAGTGTTCGGATAACAACCTCCAGTATTGTAATGGACTGATAATTCAGGATAATTCGCACCGCAAAAAGCCCAACTCCAGCCAGTAAATTCACCATCATTCGACCAGCCTGAGTGGAAACCCGCGTTAATTTCGACAATGAGGTACAGTAGTCCCCCGCAACAGGAAACCCACAGTAAATCAATATCCTCGCAAAATATATTCTTTCACAAGATGGTGCAAAATAAATTTAAAGAGGCTGATTGAAATTTCAAACGACACATGTTGCGAAAATGCACTTGATTGTCAAAATGCCGTCACCCTCGACACGCATGAGACTCACTGTCGAGCAAAAGTGCTCACTATTGACGCACCACAAGTCCATCCTGGCATGAGAGGACTTGAATTGCGAGTTTGGGCTCAGCATGCGTTTGGGCTGTCACGTGTGCCCTAATAGTCGACTATGCGACTATGTCTCGTTGGCTCAACACCAGAGCGACCACATGGACGTGCATCCGTCACATAAATCAGCCAACAAACCTCGCCTACTGGACCTCTACTAAACTTAACTCTAACTGCTGGCGCCATACGGGTAAACTGGACGAAGAGATGTATGAGTTGATCGAGAGTATGAACAACCTTTGAGGAATGTAATGTGGAGGTTGCCAGGTATCAACCCCCTCCGAATATGATGTCCATTTTTGAATCCGAGCACTTTCCAATATCATATGTTAAATCTTGTCCAATCCGAATCGAGCTACCCATGAAACATGCCTTTTTAACTTTATACTTGTGTAAATCGAAAACCTCTAAAACCATATCGCCAACAAAGGTTCCCTATTGCGGGGGACTACTGTATGCTTACAGTGGTTGCCGGTAAAACCCGGCCAGTGCGACTTCGGAACGACTGATACGCCACCGCTTCGTTCTTCTTGGACGCCAGGTACTGCACGAGCCACTCTTTGTGATTCGTATTCACCCAGCGCATGAGGTGAAACACCCGTAGGTGCTCTTCGGAGTCACGTTTGGCTCGCATGTAGGCCAAGAGGTCGTCCTTGAACGGCAACAGCTCACGGCGCCCCTGGCCGCCCAAGGTCGCATGCCGGCTGTGGCGTTTGCTTGCCATGATGGCTGACTCTC